TACTACTACTACTACTACTACTACCACGACCACGACCACGACCACGACCACGACCACGACCACGACCACGACCACGACCACGACCACGACCACGACCACGACCACGACCACGACCACGACCAGTACCACATCAACAACAACAACAACTACTACCACTAGTATTAGTATTTGTACTGTTACTACTACTGCTACTGCTACTGCTACTGCTACTGCTACGTGCTATCTCACTCGGCCAGATTGCAGCGGCTGCCTGCTTCTTATGTCCGAGACCGAGCAACAAATTCGGGGCCAGCAGCTTGCGATGGCTATTCCATGTCTGCTGAAGTTACTGCTGGGCTACATACTATGTGACATTGCAACATCCATTGTCGTCGTCTTCGTCCGCCTTGTCATGTTTGTTTCTTCCTCTTCAGTCGGCAAGCCCCGTGCAATTCACACCCGACCCGAAGGCCCTAAAGCCCTGAAGCCTCAACGCCTCAAAGCCCTGGCAGTCTCAATCATCAGTTTCTTCCTCAAGACCCGAACGCGTTACCCCCCTAAGCCAAAGCTCCCTCCTCCGAAATCACAGACCGGTTGCACCCGACGCCCCCACAAACCCAAACCCCCCAACCTTAAACTCCTCAACCCCCGAAGCCTTAAACCCCAAAGCCCGAAACCCCAGACTGAAATCTGACATCCTACACAGGTCCTACACTCTTATCCTCAACCTACCCTAACCCCTTTACTAGACCCTTGAAAGATTCCATGGAACCCTTAGAGAGTCTGTGGAACTCTTTTCGAATCTATGAAGCCCAACCGGTACCTCGAGAATTCAACGGCCCGGTGTTAGGTTTTAGTTAGGGTTTAAGGCCCTGTTAACCCGACCCTATACCAAGAACCCCTAAACCCTGAACCCTGAACCGTGAACCCTGAGCCTTAAACCCTAAACCCCTGCACCCTGGAGTCTCAACCATGAATCTGAGGTTTCAACCCGTGGCCCAAGCCACAAAGCCTTGAGCTAAGCCCGAAACCCCCAAAACCACCGGAGAGAAGAAAGCTTAGAATCCCCTTGTAACCGATATGGTGCCTTAGAGAAACCTTTACATAAACTCTACAGAACCCTTGTATAAGCCCTTACAGAACCTTTGTAGAAACCCTTGCATAAACCCTTGCTGAAACTTTGTAGGGGCTCCTAAAGAACCCCTGCATAAACCCGAATACATACCCCCTAAGGCCTTATAAACCCTGAACCCTAAACAGAACTAAACCCCCCAAGGCCTTATAAACCCTAAGCAGAACTGGAGAGCCACAAGCACAGGTCTTGGGTTCCTTCTTCGCTTCGCCGGTCGCGTTGCCACCGGCTCGGAGGCGCGGGGGCGATGCGACGGTTCTGAAGCCTTGGAGATTCGGGCGGGGTTCTATCGGATTCTGGCAGGCGACTAGGTTTAGGGTAGGGGCAAGCAGGTTGTTTTTTGAAGGCGTTATTGGTGGCTTTACAGGGTTCCGTTTTTTGAGGGTTTGGGGTTTTCTTGGTAGGTGGAGATTTGGGGTTCGGGTTTAGCTGTTTGAAGTTCTTGGTTTTCAGGAGAGTTCTGGAGGCAGCTTCGATCTCTGACTTTCTTGGTCTTTGGGTTTGAATTTGGGGCTTTCTCCCTAAACTGTGACTGGTCGAGTTTCTACACACCTTGAAGAGACGCAGAATGTAGAGGTGCGCCAAAGCCCAAAGTTTATAAACCCTAAACCCTAAACCCTAAACCCTAAACCCTAAACCCCTAAACCCCTAAACCCTAAACCCTAAACCCTAAACCCCCAAACCCTAAACCCTAACTATGGAAGATGCCGAAGCCAAGCCCCAAACGCCTTTGAGGCGCTCCAGAGTAGGACCCCTGTGACCAGAAAAACTGAAGGCCATGGCCTTCACGAGGTTGAGGCTTTCGAGGGTGGCTTTTGTTATCTTACGGTTTAGGCGTCAGAGTTATTTGTGTTTAGGGTTTAGGGTTTAGGGGGTTTGGGTTTAGAGTTTAGGGTCTAGGGGTTTAGAGTTTAGGGTTTAGGGGTTTAGGGTTTAGGGTTGATTTGTTGGCGTTTGCTGAAGGTTGGAGGAACAGCGGGAACCGACACCTGTATCTCCTCGACTCCTCCGACACGAGGTAGTTGGTATTGGCAGATGCCCATGTCGTGTAGGTGCGCGCGCAGCCTCATACTGAAGGCTGCACAGCACTCCTTTGGCTAGATCAGGGCAAATTGTTACCCCTGCCAGCCCGCTGTAGCTTCAGAGACCGCTGCTTTCCCGCACCTATTTCACCCGAAAGTTTGCTATCAGTAGACAAGACACAGTTTCACGTAGCGGGACTGGTGCAGAACACCCACAAGAGATCAGAGCAGCGCCAGGCACTTCGTTCTAGACCTCTTCTGAGGCACGGCGGGTTGAACAGAGGTCTCGGGTTCCCTTCATAAAGGTAAACTGCAATCGTGAGTTGAGAAACCCCAGACCTCTACACGGTAACGGCAAAACCCTAATCCTCTAAAGCCCAAACCTCTGACAATAAACCTTTAAACCCTAAACGTCTAAAGCCTAAAAGCCCCCAGTGTTGGGACGGGCAGGGTTTGGTTTGTTTCGAACTCCCACATGGCCGTAAGAAACCCGGAGCCGAGCCCCTAAACCCCCGGTTCGGCTGTAGGGGTTTAGAGGTTTAGGGTTTAGGGGTTCAGGGGTTTAGGGTTTAGGGGTTTAGAGGTTTAGGGTGTAGGGATGAGGGTTTAGCGCTTAGGGGATTAGGGT